AAACCATGGGGATAAAATTCATTTAAAGAAAGACTGTTTACAAGGAAAACAACAACAAATGGACAAGCTGCTGTTGCAAACGTTAGCTATTGTAATACCAGGGACAAATGGTCAATATATCAAATAATTATTAATAATTCTAAGTTGTTTTTCAGATTGGATCCAGCTGGAGGAGATGTAGTAGCCCTAGCAAATGGTCTGAAGGCTAAAATCATTGGAAAAAGCAGTATGCTAATTCCATGTCTGGAGGAAAAGTTTAATAATATATTATGAGTGTCTGAAATGAAGCATAATTTACTGAGTGTCTCCAGTCTTGACAAACAAGGATGTGAGACCACATTTCTAGATGGGAGATGTCATAAAAAGAAATGGGAGTGTATGTGCACAGGGCATAAAACAAGATAATCTTTATGTGTTGCAGGGACAAAAGGTTCAATGTGCACAAACACTTGGAAAGGTGGCACAACATGATTCATGCATTCATCTTTTGCACAGAAAGCTTGGTCATGCTAGCTTCAGAGTGTTGCACAAAATGCAACCATTTGAAGAAAGATTAACCTTAAAAGAGTGTAAGGCATAGACTGTGTAATATGTAAATAATTGAAGTCCAAGGCGCTCCCAGTAAGCAAGAATAGCACAAGGCAGACAAAAGAGCCTGGAATAAAAATGAAGCCTGTGATCAAGAGATATATCAGTCAGCAATAGGTAGCTTGTTATATCTGTCACAGTTGTCCAGACCAGACATAGCTTGTGCAGTGAGCATCTTAAGTTGCTTTACTGCTGCACTAATGCAGTTGCATCGGATGGATGTAAAAAGAATTCTCGTGAATTTAGGTCTTCAAATATAGGTTTCTGAAGAGTTAAAGTAAAAATGTTATGCTGACAGTGATTATGCCAATGATGTGCAAACCAGAAAGCCCAATTCTGGGGTTGTAGTATTATTTGGAGGGGCCTTAATTGGATGGAAATCCAGAAAACAAACTACTGTAGCCATTTCTATTGCGGAGGCAGAATTTATTGCTCTATCTGAACTTTGTTCAGAGGTAACTTGATACATACAGCAGTTAAAGGATTTAAACATAGAATTTAATGAAGCTGTAAGAGTATTTGAAGATTATGCTGCTTGCATTAAAATGGCAACAGGTGACAGGGTGAAAAATAGAAGCAAGCATATGCACATTAAGTATTGTATTGTCAAAGAAGCTATCAAAAGTAAATTAATTTGCTTGCTTCATTGTTCTTCAGAAGACAATCTAGCAGACCAAGCCATTAGGTGGAGTGCACCATAGGAAGAATATAAAATTATTTGGTTTTATGTCTATTCCAGTCATAAAGGGGGGAGTGTTACTGTATAAGACTTTATAAACTGGAATAGTCATGGCAACAAGCAACCAATGGAAATGTTTTTGATTGAGACAGAGGATTTACTGTGAGAACATATGAGCTGGCACTGGGTGTGGTTCAGAGATGGTATTCAGCAGGTTCTGACCAGTTCTGGAGAACTGGTAGCAGAAATTCTGAGTAGTTTAGAGAATCTGTGGTAACCTTCCCCCGGGAATGGGGAAGGAATGGAGATTTTGCAGTATCCTTCCCCTGCCATGCCCACCAAGCCAAGCCCACAGAACCGGTAGTAAAAATTTTTGAATCCCAACACTGGTGTAGTTTAGTCTGGGTGTGGTTTAGCTATTCTGTGTTCAGAGTTCATTGGGTTTTTTTTTAGTTGTGCCTTCTTCCTACTATGTTACAAGAGCTGCATGGGTATTGTTTGCATGTATCATGTTTTTTTATATTTTTATAGATAAAGAAGTTTTTTCTCTATTATGAATCCTGCTCAATTCTTTCAATGTCCACTGTGTGGTAGGTAGGTCTCAAATAATGCTAACAGTTTCTGATGTTTCTACTTTGCCTTTGCAAAGAAACTGAAGTAATAGTGGATTATCTAAGTAGCTGCTGCTGCTGCTGCTGCTGCTGCAAAAAAAAAAGACTATATAAATTGACTACAAACAATAGCATGGCAAAGTAGCAACAATGTTACATTGGAATATTTGCAAGAAATACCATTTGTCTGCAAGCAAGAACTGGTGGGACCATACCAGAGGTGGTATTCAGCAGATTCTGACAAGTTCTGGAGAACCGGTAGTAGAAATTTTGAGTAGTTCGGAGAACCAGCAAATACCATCTCTGACTGGAGATTTTACAGTATCTTTTCCCTGCCACACCCACCAAACCACGCCCACCGAACCGGTAGTACAAAAAATTGAATCCCACCATTGGGCCACACCATAGTCAAAATAATAGAAAATGAAGAAACCAAAGTGCTCTGGGACTTTAGAATTCAAACAAAAAAGCACCTAATACATAACACCCCTGGTTTAATAACTATTGATAAGAAAGGCAAAAAAGGGTGGATAGTAGATGTTTCAGTAGCAATAACAATAGTAAAACTATTGCTACTTATATACTGCTTCACAGTGCTTTACAGCTTTCTCTAACTGGTCTACACAATCAGCAATCTGGGTCCTCATTTTACCAACCTTGGAAGGATGGAGGGCTGAATCAACCTTGAGCTGCTCAGAATCGATCTCTCAGAATCCAAACATCCGGCTGACTGAGCAACCAACCTTGATAAAAGCAATTGGCCAAAATTTCCAAAGATAATTGTTCCCATAAGCAATTTCAAGAGATATGAGATTCTGGCCATTTAATGTTTAGAAAAATATATTTTAATTTTTTTGTGTGTCTACAGTATGTAAACTTATACAATGTTGATGAAAGGATTCTTTATTTTTGACCAGCTATTTTAATTATAACAAAAATAATCAAAGAGTTACAAGACTATCAGATGTAATTTCATTACAATTTTTGCTTCACAGGAAGAAACAGAATTTAGCAAGCAGTGTAATAAAGTAGAATATGGATTACATCCAAGTACACTCTGCAATAAATTTATTTCCCAAAATTTCAGATTTGGAATCAGAGGATTCACAGGAATATGTCTATTGGTTAAAGAGAATGAACAAAAATGATTAATATGTTGGCTCAATTCTCAGGTGTTAGCTGCTTTGAAGAGGACATGATCTCTCGTTATCAATTGGAAAGAAAAGACAGTTGATCTGAGGTACCAATGAAGAAGAATATTTGTAGCTCAGGGTTGAAATGAGAGTTAATCTGTCTTTTATTTCTGAAGGAAAGGTCTGATAAACATGAATACATGTTTTGAAGATAGCCAAACACTAACTGATCTCATATTTTTTGGTTTTTCATCAATATTCAAGTTTCAAAATATTTCAGTTTTGAAATAACTTCCTGCCACAAATAACTTAAAAGCAATTTGGGGCAGTGACTCATCTAATTATAATTTGACCTAGGTTTGATTTCTTAAGATAAATTACAAAAGGACAAGATATATTTCCTTGTATTTCCAAATAAAATGAAACTGTTAGGGAACAGGATAGCAGAATTTCTGATGGCTTCTGTCCAAAATTTCCATCTATTTCTAATTGCTAAAGGCCTTAAAGCCACAGAATTAACCAAAGAATTGTAAAAACAATGTGCTAGGAGACATTATCACTGCTCTGAGTTGGCAGGAACAAGTCTCTGGAATGATATGAAATTTAAATGTTACAAGTGTCACACCTAGAACCTATACACACCTAGAACCTATACTGGCACATTCATTTGTGCTTCTGAATAAGAGCAAGCCAATAGTTTATAAATGTTTCATTTGAAACAATTTTCTTTCTAACTTGTTATATCTTTGTGATTATTATAGAAATTTTCCATGATGTGTTTGTGGTTCTGAACTAGTTACAGTAATAAAAGATTTTCAGATATAAAAGCTATGTTTTTCACATTCAACAGTAACCTTTCTGATAATGGAAAACCTCAGAAAGCAAATATTTCAGCCAAAAAACTTCTCTTGTGAGTGAAATTACAAGCAGTAAGATACTACTGTTCTGGAGACCCGAGGTGGCATCAGATCTCACTCCTTTAAGGGAGATCTTATCAAACTTTTTCCTCAGTATGCAAAGCACTTCTTTCCTGAGATTGAACCAACAGATGAGTAATCATCTAACATATCTGTGAAAATCCCGCAAAAAACATACTTTGAAACAAGAGGGGGTATTTATAAAGTGACTTTCTTTGAACCATTAAAGTAGCTGCATCTATTTCTAGGCTCATCTAGCTGCTTTTTAAATTGCTTCTAGCTGTTTCTGTATCTGTGTCCTTTTATTATCATTCTGATTTTTGCCCCTTCAGTTCCCCTTGGGTATCTTAGTTAAACCTTGGGAAGGCTTTGAGAATACAGTCTTTAAAAATTCATTTCAGGAATTTTTTGACTTTATCTATTCACATTCCTATTTCTTTTTTAAAGCCATTATTATTACTCTTGAGGTTTTGTTTGAAACAACCTTTTCCAACTTCAGCTGTGCATTCTACAACTGTCAATCGATGACCATGAACTACAAACTTCTAGATTAGGAAATCTAGATTAGGAAGAGTTGGGTTGGACTTTGTTTTTCTTGGTCAGGTGACATTTCATCTTAAGATCACACCAAGTATACAAAATTGGCTATATGTTTGCAAATATTTTGTCTAAACTGTTCATCATAAGAATTTTTCCTGAGTCTCTTAGATTATAATAAAGCACATGGCCAATTTTTATCCTGCAGGATGGTATGTCATTTGTTAATTAAATTAAATATTACACTACTCCTAATTTAGAACTTTTTCTAGTAAACCTGGCAGGCACAATATATAGTATGAAATGGAAAATCTTTTGCAGCTTTCTTTCACTAAATTAGGAAAAACATTGGGAAGAAAAGCAGGGCCTTTGAAGTTGCCTACCAACAAATATCATTTGAACAGGATATTGAATAGGCACACACTTATCTAATCACATTTCCTTCTGCCACAGAGAGATAAACTTTATTTTCACCCCACCCGTTTTTTTTGTCCCTTTGAGTCAGAGTTTTTGTCAAAATTCTGTGAAGCTACAGTGATGCTTCAACCTATTCATTTTGCTTCTTCTTCTTCTTCTCCTTCTTCTTCTCCAGTGAACTGTGCAGAGTTGTAGACTTGATGACCACTGCAAAACCATGACTCAATCAATCAAAATTGCAAAAATGCATGGAATGAAGAGAAAGAGAGAGATACACACACATACAGACAAATACAGAGAGAAATGCTCATTTGCTTAGTTCTTCCTTTGTGGTGTTTGCTGTTCAATTAGATTATAAAAAGTAAGTAGCTCTTCAGTCTTTCATTTGTTTTCAGAATGAATGCATCTACCTATTCAGGAGCATCCACAGAATGTGGTTTTAAAAAAGTTAAAATAGTGAGTGATAGTATAATTGAGGTTCTGCTGTTTCAAATAAAAGTGGGCAGAACTTTAATCCTACCATCATCTTACCATCATTGCCACTATCTTGACTTGCCCCTGAAATCACACTGAATGAGCATTCATGGAAAGATGCCAAAATGCATATTTTGCTGCATCATAGCAGTGAAGTAGAATAATATAAGAAAATTGATATTATCATTCATGATGTCAGAATAACCATAATACTTACCACTATATTATATGAGACCCAACGGGAACTTTATAGAGCTTATCTCCATTTAGATGAAAGGTGCCAGTGTTGCTAAATAACTTCCACTTACATTAACCAGCATGGCCAATGGTGAAAGATGATAGTAGTTCCAGCCAAGTGTTTTGAAGATCTACATTAGCCAATGCTGACTTAAATGCACATGCTTTTAATATGTGAACGATGGACACACTCAAAGCTAAAATAATGAAGTTGTAGTCTCAAAAGAGCTGGAGGGCATCACGTTGAGCAATACTGATCCTAAACTTGAAGAAACTTTCTCCTTTCTTGAAGGAAATACTTAGACAATATAATACAATTATTTGCCTGGAGTCTTTCTCACAGAAGTGAACAAGAAGTCTCCTCATATAAGATTTTGTGATCAGGAAAGGGAAAAATTTATTTACAGAGGTGAAAGTAATGAAATGAGCTTTAACATTTTCACAACAAAGCCAGTTTGGTTTATTTCTAAATTTTTATTATTCAATTTTTATTTCCATTTTTTTAATATGCAGTGAACATACCTAATAATCCTACCTCCTATTTTCTCCACAAAAACAACCCTGTGAGGTGGATTAGGCTGAGATCAGTGACTGAATCAAAGTCACACAGTCAGCTTTCATGCTTAAACTGGGACTAGAACTCACAGCGTTCTGGTTACTAGACCAATGTCTTAACCGCTATTCCAAACTGGCTCTCTATAATAACACTTATAATAATAATATTTATAAATTCTTTTTTTATAAAATTTATAAATATATTTTTAATCACCTTGCTCCAATTAGGTGCCCTCCAGGTGTACTGGACTACAACTCCCTGGATTTTTAGCAGCCACAAGTCAATGCTCTTGATGAACTGTGACTACATAGCAATGATGTGCCAAACCCTTGTTCCAGGGATGGTCTCTAGGAGTTTCTGAAAATTAACCCGAACCAGAAGTGGTTTGTGGTATTCTGAGGGTGGCTCTGTCTTGAAACAAAAGCCACTTATGTTGTTTTGGACATGCTATTCTGACTGTTCCATTCCCCAAATGGTGGGTTTTGCACATTCTAATACATAGTAAACCAGTTTAAACAGAATAAAGAATGAGTACAAGAAAATACATAATCGTATTTTTTTACTGAATGAAATAACAAGTAAAAATCATGGTGTTATAGTCTGTTGTTTTTTTAAAAAACAAGAACCATAGATGTATTGATATGAAATGTAAACGATCGCATTATAAAGATGCTATTTGAGTAAGTTATTGAATAATTTGAAACCTGAAGCCGCAGATAATACCCTACTATGAACCAAGTACTGTTACCATGTGTGTAAAAATACAAATGATGAATTTTATCTGTGCAAAATATTAAAAAAAAAATCTTAATAATTTTTAAGATCTTAGGGTACATTTCTATTTTCCATCTGAAGAATTATTTCATTGGGACTTTGTAAAAAATATTTTTCCCCACTAAGAGTGGGGAAGGTTTTATTTTGTTGTTAAAGAAAATGTGGCTCTGAAAGACAGTCCAAATTAGAGCACTGTAATTAAATGAACCACTTTCTCTTATGCAAGATATTTATTTTAATAATGACTATTTTACAACTCAGTGGAAACATGCAGCAATGTAATCTATTTCCATGGTCAGGATGACAAAAACAATGCACCCTCAACAGCCACAAGAGCCTGCCTTGTGTTAGTGAAATATGCAGCTACTATGTGCATTAAACAATATCTCTACATGAATTTCTAAGGACTGAAATATGTTTCATGCTTTTCTAGGGAAGAAGGGCACTGTGCAAAAATACTGCTCTTGGAGTACTGTGAAAATATGTGGGTATACTTGTTTTTTTTTACTGTGTTCCAAGGCCATTCTTTTTCCAATATCAGTCAAATATCTACTTCTATTTTAGACCACCTTTCTAGGGTATAAATAATGACCCACAGCTGGAAGTCCAATCCTCTGTGTCAGATTCATCTGCAAGAATATTCTCAAAATTTAAGAGAGTAGCTGCAGTTATGTGATTGAAGCCCCACTTCCTTTTACAAGCAGTAGCCATCATCTGGATTTTGTTTAAAAAAAGCTCCTTCCCTGAATAGGGCAGTGTGTAATTATTCAGTAATAAGTCTCAGTGAACTCAATGGGATTTATTTCTAACTAAGTGATGCATACCCATGCACCCCAATTCCCCCCCTGTGAATATTTAAATTGAATATTAGTACAATTTCACTATATGTTCCACTTGGACAGCCTAATTTCACCACAGTGAAAAAACATTCTTGCTTCTTCTTTTCTGTTTTTCTAAAGCTTCCAAATCTCTAGTGCTTTGTCAACTATAGAATTATAGTTGTGATTAATTTAAATTACAATTTAAAAGTATAGGCCTACAGAATACAAGAAGCACCTTTTCTCTTTCTGATTATATTTTATAGCTATGCATTAGAAAATCAAAGTGATAGTATTCATGGAAATACAAATAGTGACTAACCTATGTTAGTTACATCAGGTTGATCTCATCAGCAGATTAATCAATTATGGGATTGCCTCGAAGCATGAAAAAAAAACTTGTAAGTTAAAAACAAATCTATTTTGCTGCATCAAATACTGTGGGGAAGGACTCTTCTGAATTAAAGCTGTTGGAACATTTTCTGGATTATTGTATATCTTTTCTTGAAATTAAAAAAAAATGGCAAATGTGTTCTTTGTTTTCAGATTATCAGTATTTCAGAGACATGTTTCTGAAATATTGTATGCCAGATGGCTCTGAAACAAAACACTCTGTAAAGGGTCATCATTTAGTGTCTCCCCCCCTTTGTGGTTGCTCCAGAAATCCCAGCTATCTTTCTCAGGTTACAGCAGCTTCAAGTTTCTTTTTTTTTTTAAATGTGAGGCAGAATAAACTTCTCACACCAGTAGGCCAGTACTGGTGATTTGTCACAGAATAATCCTAGCATTGCTCTGATACAATGAAGCCTTCCTTCTCACCAACTGGTTCCACTTCAGAATAGGAGGGGTGTCCAGATCCTCTCCGAAATTTCATTGCAGGCCATCTGCTTGGGCGACGCTAGAGGAGAACACATGGCACAAAGAATTCACAGTACTGGAATTGTTATGAATAATTACCACACTTATTCCTATATAGGTGGTGTTAGGAATGTAAGTCACCTAACAGTTATTTGGGTTGGAAATATATAAACCAGGATAGATATTTTAATACTGTATCTTTAAGAGAATCCTAAAACTGTAATTGGTGTGGTTTCTCATACGGCCATAACATGGAGCCAGAAACCTGGGTTGTTTAGTCTCAGAAGTGAGTGAGTCTCTGTTTCCTTCTGTTGTGAGAGTTTTGCCGTTCCTCCTAATGACGGTTACTGATCATTGATGTAAGTCTGTTACTGAACTATTTTTTGATACTGGACTTTGATATTTGGATTATCCCTGAACACTGACTGCCTTACCTGTGAATGACTTGGACTGCTTATCTTGGACTGTGCTTAAACGTTTATTGGAAGTAAAAACTTACATTTACTGTACAGTGTATCTGTGTGCTGTGTGTGTATTATTTTTCACTACTCTCACTACGTCTCCCTGTATGCGCTCATTCTCTTAACGAGGAATTATCTCAACACTGGTTATGGGCCCAGACCATACCAGGCTCAGATAACTGGAAGTTAGTATGAATACACAGTACTGTATACAGACAGCTATTTACTGTTTAATTGTGGGTTACTATCCTGGTAAAGATGGCAGAAGACACTTCAACAAGTCTATCACTGATAACCCGGTTGGATGGAACCAACTATGTTTCCTGGTCTATGAAGTGCAGTCTACTTCTGCGTAGAGAAGGGTTATGGAATGTAGTTCAAGATCCACCAGATGTAAATGCTTGGGATCCAGAAAATGAGGATGATGCCAAGAAGTTAGCTGACTTTAAACGGAACAACAAATGAGCTCTTTGTATAATTGGACTAACTGAGTGACCAGCAGCTAGTCCATATTCGTGGAGAAGAGTCTGCTGCTAGGTGTTGGGAGAATTTGAAGATGATTTATGTTCGTGACAGTGTAGGTGCACACATACATCTTACATGCAAACTGTTTAGAGCACATCTTTTGAAAGGTGGAGATATGTTAGTTCATTTGAACTTCATGAAAATAACTTTTCAAGAGCTACATGAAAAGGAACTGATATTTTCAGAGCTGCATCAAGTTTACATCATTCTTTCCTCATTGGATGAAAGTTATGATGATTATGTATCTTCACTGGAAGTCCTGACCAGAGATAAACTGACATTGACTGACATAACCGGAAGGCTGTTAGAAGAGGCAAGAAGATGGCTGGATAGGGACCAACTGAGGAAGGAACAACCACAAGAAGAAGATTTGTGTTCAACTGCCTATACTGTTAGGAAATGTTTTTCTTGTGGAGCTAGGGGACATGTAGTTAGATTCTGTAAGAAGGGAAAACGACAGAATACTGGTAATCACCAAAAGGCTAAGAAGAATGTTAGTTTAGCTATGTCTAGCAATTCAACTGTAAACCATGATTTGTGGGTTGTTGATAGTGGAGCATCGCAATGCATTACTAAAAATAGAGAAAGGTTTATAAATATGTCCACAAGTAAACAACATGTATCTTTGGCAAATGGATGGAAGATGAAGGCATCTGGTGAAGGTACTGCATATTGTTCTTGTATAAACGAGCATTTAACTATGTTATATGTACCTAAACTGTATTTATATGTACCTAAACTTAATTTATTATCAGCAAGGGCTTTAGTTAATATTGGTTATGTAGTAACCTTTAGGGGAGATACGGTATAATAGAGAAAGAGGGTAAAAGTGTTACTTCTACATTAGAGAATGACTTATATGTGATACATGATGACCAGTTGAAGATGGCTAACTTGTTTTATAACAATGTTAAGCCACATGATGAACGTATACATTTACTGCATAGACGTCTGGGGCACATTAATTTCAAAATGCTCAAACAAACTGTTGAATTGTCAGAGGAAGTAAAATTGAAACCCTGTAGCAAGTATTTAAACTGTAATGCTTGTAGCCAAGAGAAAAGCATTACTCCAGAAAACAGACTTAATGGGTTTAAGACCAAAGAACCTTTAGAGGTTGTTTTTGCTGACATAATTGGTCCTAAGAAACCTAGTTTAGGACGTGCCTGCTTTATTTTGAGTACTATGGACCATTACTCACAATATGGTTTCTGCTATCTTATGAAAAACAAAACAGAAACATTCCAACATTTCTTTAACTGGCTAAGGTTTGCTGAGAGAAAAATGAAAAGTAAAGCAATTACTTTAGTTACTGATAACGGGACTGAGTTTGTTAACAAGAGATTCCCAAATATGTTGAAATTGGCTGGTGTTGAGCATAAATGTTCTGCACCTTACAGACCACAACATAACTCGTTTGTAAAACATAGGGGGCAAACATTACAAGCCATGGCTTGTACTATGTTATCTGACTCAGGTTTGCCTGAAACACTGTGGGGTGAGGCCATAATGTGTAGTAACCATGTGTTAAACAATGTAGTTAACACAACAATTGGTGAATTGCCATTTACTTGTTGGCATGGCAGAAAACCAAATTTAAGTTACCTACACACATTTGGAGCTCCAGCATGGGTGCATATTCCCTCACAAGTAACACTGAAAGGGCAACATAGAGCTAAGAAGTTATTTTTTGTATGTTATGAGGCCAAACATAGATCATTTAGATTCTGGGATCAAGGCACAGCTCACGTTTATTGTAGTGCTAGTGCAAAATTTCTTGAGCACGTTGGGTGGGATAAACTGGAACAGGAATCCAGAAATGATATTATTATTGACACCCAAAAAGTCCCTAAAGATAAAATCAGTAAACCACAAATAGCCATTAAAGAGGAAGCACAGGAGGAAGTAGTAGAACAGGCACAGGAAGAAGTAGAAGAACAGGAGCAGGTGGCACAGGTGAGTCCACCAATAAGCCCTGTATTACCAAGACGTTCAACCTGAGTAACACGACCACCTGATAGATATCAGGCTAAGGTTGTATGCCAAGTGAATACAGTTCCAATAAATTATAGTGAATTGAAACTGTATCCTGCTAAGGATCAGGCTGCTTGGCAGGTAGCAATGGATAAGGAAGTGGAATCATTAAAAAAGTTGGAAGTATACGAAAATGTTAAGTTACCACCAGGTAAACATTTTTATTTATTTATTTATTTCTTATTTTATTTGATTTGTCAATTGCTTACAAGATAATAGGTATAACTATATACATAGTTATGAACACATGAAATGGGTACATATAAGAAAAATAAAAGAAACAATAGAACAGGGATGGTAGGCATGTTGGTGCGCTGATGCATGCCCCTTACAGACCTCTTAGGAAAGGGGTGAGGTCAATAGTAGACAGTCTAAGGTTAAAGTTTTTGGGGTTTTGGGAAGAAACCACAGAGTTGGGTAGAGTATTCCAGACATTGACAACTCTGTTGCTGAAGTCGTATTTCCTGCAATCAAGTTTGGTGCGGTTAACTTTGAGTTTGTATCTATTGTGTGCTCTTGTGTTGTTATGGTTGAAGCTGAAGTATTCATTGACAGGTAGGACATCGCAATGTATGATTTTATATACCATACTTAGATCAGACCGAAGACGGCGTAATTCAAGGTTTTCTAGGTCTAGAATTTGAAGTCTGGTGGCATAAGGTATTCTACAACTAGTAGAGGAGTGGACAACTCTTCTTGTGAAATATTTCTGGACTTTCTCAACTGTGCTAATATCAGATACGTAATGTGGGTTCCAGACTGATGAGCTGTATTCGAGTATTGGTCTAGCAAATGTTTTGTATGCTCTAGTTAGTAGTGTGATATTACCAGAGAAAAAGCTATGTAGGATTAGGTTAACAACTCTTAATGCCTTTTTGGCTATGTAGTTACAGTGGGCTCTAGCACTTAGATCATTAGAATTGAGTATTCCAAGGTCCTTTACAGAGCTTGGATCATCAACAAGATCTTGACTATTCAGCCTGTATTTTATTTTCTGATTTTTTTGCCAATATGTAAGACAGAGCATTTATTTGTTGAGATTTGAAGTTGCCATTTGTTTGACCATTCTGATACATAGTCAAGATCTTTTTGAAGGGTAGCAGTATTGTCTGTGGTATTGAACAGCTTTACATCATCAGCTAAGAGAATGCAGTTGCTCTTGATATGATCACAGAGGTCATTTATGTAGAGTATGGAAAGAGTTGGTCCTAGAACACTGCCTTGGGGGACACCACTATTGACAGGTACAGAATTTGATAGGACACTCCCAATTTTGACCATTTGTTGTCTGTTTGACAGGAATGCTTCTATCCAGTTATGCAGTTGTCCAGAGTTACCCTAAGATTTTTGTTTTAGGAGTAGTTTGTCATGTACCACTGAATCAAAGGCTTTACAGAAGTCTATGTAGATTGCGTCTATTGCTTTGCCCTGATCGAGTTGTGTAGTCCATATGTTTTTGCAGTGTAAGAGTTGCAGATTACAGGTAGTTTTTTCCTGAAACCAAATTGTTTATTGGAGAGTAGGTTGTTTGTCTCTAAGTGGAGGATAATGGATTGGTTAATAATTGATTCCATGACTTTACAGGTGATGCAGCATAAGAAGATTGGTCTGTAATTTTCAACTAAGCTGGGGTTTCTCTTTTTGGAGATGGGGATGACCGTGGTTTGTGACCATAGGTTAGGCAAGGAGCTGGTCCTGAAAGATTTTTCAAAGATTATGCTTAGAGGTTTGGCTATGGCAGTGGATAGCTTTTTTAAGAAGTAGGCACATATTCAGTCCGGTCCAATAGATAGAGATGGTTTTAGATTGCATAGTGCTTTTTCCACATTGTCTTCTGTAAAATCGATATGTATTAGATTATTGTAGTTGTCTGTGGTCGACTAGGAAATACTGGGCATGATCCATTGCTGTTTACAAATACTGAGCCGAAGAATGTGTTAAAGTTGTTGGCTTTAATGGTGTCATCGTTGCAGTCTTTACCATTAGGTCCCATCAGGGGTGGAATGGACCTTGAGTCTTT